AGAGGAGCAGGTGAGGCGGGAGAACCAAGGAAGGGGGAGAGAAGGGGGAGGAAAGAGAGAGGGGGGAGTCAGGTATTAGGGGAAAGAAAGGAATGCAGTAAGGAAGGGGGAAGCTAGCAGGGAGGAAAGGAGCTGAAGAAATGAGCCAGGGAGGGGAAAGCTAGCACAGAGGGAAAGACAGGGAAGTCAAGAAGAAAAGAGAGAGGAAGTAGAAGCCAGCAAGGAAAGAGGGAGGAAGGGGTAGCCAGGAAGGAGGGAAAGAGGGTGACGTCAAGAAGGAAGGTTGCAGAGGAATTAGAGCCAGCAAGAAGCGTGGGAGGAAGAATTTACCCCTCAGTAGGAGAGGGTGCGAGAATCACATTTTGGCTACTAGATGGCGTGTCATTTCCTCGACATCATGGAATGTTAGTGCAAGGTTGTTATTAGGAGTGGGGTGTTTCGCCCATGCATCAATACAGTGTTGTCACATCGTCGCATGAGAGAGTCTTCCATCGAGAGACTTCGTTGTTGTGAGAATGTTTTCAAAATGCAATCTGTTTTTAAGCGATTGGGGTTGATAAAGTTTTGTGAGATTATCGTTGCATGTGGTCTACAGTGGCCATTTTGTTGTTGAAATGAGGCGTACGTATAGCCTGGAGATTTGATTTAGTCGTGATGGTACATATTACACTTGTGCTGTTCTGATTTCAACATTATTGACATTTCTTTTGTGCTTTCCTGTGGTTCTTTAGCTTGATGTAAGTAAGAGTGTGTCTATGTCGATGTGTAAATGGATGATTATCAACAAGGTTGCCTTTATCTGCATTACATGTGTACCTTATTTTAATGTAACTGGTTAACATAGTTCACCAACAATTGTTTTAATAATGTTCAGACTTCATTTCCACCATTTTTGTAATGAAACTCTAACTCTGTACTCTCCACTTTTGTACTTAAACTAAAAAAGCACTTTTACACCATTGATTCTGCATTCTGTTAGTTAATGTTATATGATTATTGATCTATTAGAATCTGCTTTTATCTAATCTTCATATTTAATATTTAATGAGTAGACGTGATGCCGTAAATGATATCGTAGATTCGTAGATAAATAATACAGAGTTAAGCACGTCAAATCTAATCTGGTGTGTGTGTGTGCGTACTGTTACAGAGAGTGGAGATGTGTCGATCGCTCTACAAGCTCCACTTCCAGCTGCTGCTACTGTTCCAGAGTTTCGCAAAGCTGATATCATTGCTGCAGACTGGTTGCAAACTTGCACAGGTGAGCTCGAACATTGTGCGATCTAGATAGAAGAGATCTAGAACTATGATCTAGTGAGGATTTCCCTGAGTGGTCACGTTGTGCGCTACATCTACGTCTAACCGCGTATCACACTGTCCTCCACAGGTCGGTAATGAGTCTTAGTAATGACGGCACATGTCTTTTACTCGGTTCTGTATTTAATATTTCTGTCTCTCCCCCTCACAGATCAGTGATAAGCTATGAGTGACAGTGACATATGTCCTGTATCTAACTAACCTCATGCTGCACTCTCCCTCACAGATCAGTGATAAGCTATGAGTGACAGTGACATATGTCCTGTATCTAACTAACCTCATGCTGCACTCTCCCTCACAGATCAGTGATTTCTCGCGCGACGTCTCCTGCCTGCAGCAAGATCTACGTAAGGCCATCCACGACCTTGAACATGGTCACATCGAGCACACGTCGCCGCTGCCCCCACTCGACCTCATGACCTTTGACCAGAGCCTCGCCGAGTGTAACTTGGCTGAGCAGCTGTGCAAGGGGAAGCTGATCGGAGCGGTGAAGCTCTTGCATACATACAGGTGGGAGAGGCTGGCTTCACCTGCTGTTGTTTACTGACAGCATCTCTCACAGCATCACGTGTTACCATCATTTCAAATAGGATCGGAGGAAATATATAGCCGTATGAAATCAATCGAATCTGTGTTTTTCATGAGGCTACATGGATTTTAGATATGTAGATATATAGATAAAGAGATGGGTTGAGAACTTGAGAGAGAGAAAGCTCATTGTTAGCGATGCCAAGGTTAATTGGTGAAATAGTTCTCATGCTGTGTTTCGGTTATTTAGCAAGTAACCTCGTCACTAAGAGTGGCAACAGCAAGAGTTGGCAACAGTCAGATCTATGGCAAATTGCTTGATATTCACAAGATGTTATTATTGATGGGTGATTGATTGATTCATTCATTTATTGTTTGACTGAGGACTGACTTCACATTGCAGATCGGTCGGACCATGTGAGATGTTTGGAAACAGTGTGCAAGATGACATGGATGTTCTCTTATCCCTCTACTGCAGGCAGATCGGTGAGCGAAAGTCAGGTTAGTGGAAGCCCCCCTAGTGGCAATGATATCCGACTATTACTTCGCGTCGCTAACGTAAATCTCTCCTTGCAATCAAAAACCCTGCAATGGTTCACTTCAACATCGAAGAGCGACGGACCCATACTGTCGAAAACCCAATCTCTCTCTCTCTCGCCAAATCCTACGCTCCGTGACGAATTTAAAATCGTCTTAAAAATCTGGGCTAGATTTAAAGCTTATTTCTCACCGTAGGTGGCGCTGCTGTTTGTTGCAGGTGTGGCGGCGACACAGCCTGACCACGCGATGGAGAAGGTGTGCAGTCGTCTGCTGGATATTCACATACAGCTGTCCTCCTCCATCAAGGCCCTGGAGCAGCACGCCAAGGTCGACCGAGAGGTCATCCACAAGGCAACCATCGCTGTCGTCGAAAACCTCTGAGATGCTCTGAGACATTCTAGATTCACTGTCGTCATTGTTAGCAGACGCATCAACAGCTTCATTGTTATTAGCAGATGCTATGACAACTTCATTTTCGTTGTTAGCAGACGCAACTACAGTGTCTACATCAGCTGTAATCGAATTTTCTACTAGATTAATGGCGTGAAGGAATATGTAATGAATTCCAATCATGACTGCGACTTCGTGTTGGAAGAGAATTCATGAATAATGTGATAACGATTTAAATGGGTAAGATTAGTACACTGGCTGACTGCCTCTTATATAGCCGGATTTTTTGCAGTGTGAGAAGGGACATGGTTAGGCGGTGTTAGTTTTGATGGTGGGATTAAGTGATAAGTGATCGATGAGGAGGGAGGGGGGAGAAACAGAGAGGAAAGCTGGCATTGTTGTAACTCTCGCTCTCTCTCTCTCTCTTTCACAGTTCAGGATATATTAGACATAATATGGCTGACTTTATGATCTTGTCCATACTATCAGCTAGTCTGGCTAGCTAGCTAGTTTTTTAGGTTTTCACCGGGTTACACAGAGTGTGTAGCTGGTGATGAGCACATGCTTTTATAGTGCAAGGATGTCATAATCATATTTTATTTTGCTGAATGCAGGAAGCCTAGTCGATGACACCAGTAGTCCTTGCCGATTTCGTGAATTTTATGAACCTACAATAAACTGACCTGGATCGGAGGTCGAGGGGTGCTTTGTAGGGATGGTGTGGGGCTCGTCACTAGGTACTGCTTCAGACTTGACAGCAATAATAAACCTTGTCATTGGTAATTATTTAGTGTAATGACGTTAGTTGACCCCCGCTTCGCACACGACGAGATTCGTCTACTGGTCTCGCAGCCTCTGATACGTCACGGGAATCACGTGACTTGAGTGTTTACTATATGTATATCGGTTTAATATTGTGCATATCATATTACGGCGGTTATTTCTTTGTGTAACACTGGGAAGTAGGGGAAGGCGTATATACACGTTGACAGGAATTTATTGTGATTGGCTGCTATGGCAGACCGTGACGCCACGTTGATACCACAGGCACGTGCGTGTGCATCGCGGACGTATGTAGGACCGGTCGCGATTGGGGGGGTCCTTGTTTCCTGCTCCCGCTGTATTGCGATGAGGAAGGGGGAATGTAAATAGTGTACGTTTAATTTGGTTTCATGCCTTTACTTCTTGTATTCGTATTTAACTTTATTCTAATTTATTTGTGTTGCGTGTATCCCGTAGACGTTTTCTGCTACCTGCACGTGTAGCCAGTGAGTCTTTGTTTGCTCTAGGCACACCCTGTACAGAGCGCCTGGTTACCGCAGACTAGCGCTAGTACACCTGCTGCTCGCGGGGATGAAGCCACGCTCGGCTTGTTGTGCAGGTCGTAAAACAGGTTGTACATACACGACTGTGAAATACATTAAAACTTGTTGGCAGATTGTTGTAATACTAAAATCCCTCGCGTTGTACCTTCTGTCAGTGATGCGTGCAACGCACGCCCTTGTGCTCGCACGCACTCGCGTACGCACGGATTCGCGCACGCACGCACGCACGCACGCATACGTGCTCGCACGGATTCGCGCACGCACGCACGCACGCACACACACTGGCGTACGCACGGATTCGCGCACGCATTTATTTCGTGAGATACTCGGCATGCGCGATCGCCCACCATGTTACTCCGGACCTAGTGACCAATTTAATTTAAAAAGTATCACGTCAGTTTGGATTCCTATTATTAATAAACAGAGGCATTCGGGTTCATTTTTCACGTCAAGCTGCTGCGAAGAATATTTAATATCTATTTTAAGCTCATCTGACATAGCCAGATGCAGCTTGTAGAATCGCATGATCGTCCGTCCGTCCGTCCGT